TTAGGAATTTTGGTAGGTGAAGGTTTGTCTTCATCTTGAGACAAGAGAGCAAAGCTTTCCTCTTCAATGATGCCTGAGGTAGGTTCATTCATTGATGGGATATAGCTCGGGCTTTTAGAAAAATTTCCATTTCACTTAGATTAAATATATCTTGATGATTTGGCTGAGATTCAAAAAAAGTGGCACTCCTGTTACAGGCAACTACACTTAAGTTTACAGGAAGAAAAGCATCTTCTGGGTCTAAAATCATCAAAATAATCTGAACAAGATTTGAAATCACTGATGCTTGTGTCTTCTTGAGAATCAAAGTTAGCTCTGTAGCTAACTTTAACAAAGCTCTGCTTTAACACCAACAAAGGAAAGACTTGCTTTTCTGAAGTCTAAAAAATAAAGGTTGACTTCTTCCAGAGAAATATGAACTAGTAGGTGGACTTGAGGGAAAAGATAATTTTCTACTTCTTTTGGGTGACCTGATTGCGTATGTTGCAGAAGGACAAGGTGGTTTAAGACTAAGAGATATATTTGTCTGTGAAATAGATGAGACTCCATCATGCTGCGGGTCTAAAGCAACTTGGTCTTCAAAACAATTTGACTGAGAGCTCTTGTCCTTTTTGCAGCAGCTAGGGCGAAAAAAGGGTCAAGTGAGAAAAAAAATATGAAGCAGGGTGGAGACCAGCCAAGTCTCCTGAGCAAATGTATCTACCTTACCAATGTAGAAACAAGAGGGAATAAGAAAATAGGGTAACTGAAGGTGATGGCCACACAAGGGGCTGGGGATTTAGCTCAGCGGCACAGTGCCTGCCTGGCAAGTGCAAGGTCATGAGTTCCATTCCCGGTACCGGAAAACAAACAAACAAACAAAAAAAGTGATGGCCACACAGATGCCCCCAAAAGACTGCACATGTATGTAGAAGATTACCTCTATCTACAGGTGCCTGCCCACACTATAAACAGTTAGCGAGAGAAATTGAAAGACTCAAGGAAGCAGGCGGAAGGATAAAGGGAAGCACTAAAAGGACTGCAGAACTACAGGATCCCCAGAAAGAAAAACAGAACTTCTTGTTTCGAAGAATGTAAGTCACAACATCTGTTTGGGACTACTGAACTATTGTATTTAAAGAAGTTAAGCGAAATAAACATATCTTGTTGACTAACTGCACTTTAAAATATTAACTATGAGTGAAACAGAACCTGAGGAGAATGTTTCAACTAAATCTATCAGATATTCACTTACTTTGGGGAAAATAAAGGAAGCATTAAAGTCTGGTTTAGGAATATCTGCAATTTTTTAGCACATGCACCATGAAATATATGAAATATTTTCTTTATTTTTTTGTAGTACTGGGGATTGAACCTAGGGTCTTTATACAGAGCTATATTCCCAACCCTTTTTAAATTTTTTTCTTTTGAGATAGGGTTTTGCTAAATCACTAAGCTATTTAAGCTGGGTTCAGACTTGTGATCCTCATGCCTCAGCTTCCACAGTGTTGAGGTTATTGGCATGTACCATCATGCTGGCTTTTTGTTTTGTTTTCAAAGGGCCACCTTAGGCATTTTTCTGTACTGAGTTTTATCCAAAGTAGTCTTCCCCTCCCTTCTAGGCCATGATCCTTACATCATAAAATGCCCTGTGTATGTGGAACAGGCCAGAGGACTGAATATTTAAGCTGCATGTGGAATTAACATGACAATAACACAGAATGTGATGACAGCAGACTCTAGAATCTAATGACCTCAATTTAGAATAAAATTATTCTGTGGCTCACCTTTTTGAAAAGCTGTGACTATGGAATTTGTATTTTTACTTCACTATGTTCAAGGAGTCAGACAACAAATTAAAGGGCGAAAAAAATACATGGATAAGGGCAATGACACACATAACAGCTGCACAAATCTTTCCTTAAGATTATCTCTCTCACCAGCATCTTTCCAAACCCTTGACCTACTGATTCATTCTTTCACTTAACCATTCTTACCCCAGGTTTTTATATCCTCCAGTGATATGGGAAAGCAACTGCTACAGATTTTGATCTGAATGATATCATATAGGGAGAAAAGTTTATTCCAGTCTTTATTCACTAAGGGACCCCAATAATTTCCATACCCTTATGGAGATACACCCCAATAAATATTGCTAAATATATCATTATAATAGGTTTATACTCATTATTATCAAAAGGTGAAGTTTTCTGTGTATAAAACAATAAGGTTTTCTTGGGCTGGGGACATAGTTCAGTGGTACAAGTGCCTGCCTGGCAAGTGCAAGGTCCTGAGTTTGATTTTTGGTAAAAATGTAACAAAAAGGTTTTCTTATTAAAATGTGCTCTTGACACAAAACTAAATTAAGAGATGAAGATTCTGTATAGTTGTGACAATCATTATTGTTAATTTCATGGTGCACTGAATATACTCATGGCATCTGGGTGTATAGGTTTTCTAAGATATAAAAGTAGGATTGTCTTAAGTGATAACCTTTTCTTTTAGACTCAGATATCTGCCTTCCTCTTGTGCTCTAGCTACTTGTGATAAGAGGTACATGTCAAGCAAGCATGAGACCACCAGTCAAATGGTAGTTTTTTGAAAAAGTTTATATGATATTTATGTTATATACGTGTCACTACACTTAGAGCTGCTCAGGCACTGAGCAGTCCGGACAATATCATACACTTCTTCAATGACGTCTTATTGAAGAATAACAAATTAGGTGAGAGCTTCTTTGTATGCTAGATGGAGATGATTGAGTAAAAAGGCTATTCTATACTAAGACATTTAAATGTGTTTCAAAAATAATATGATTATCATGCTAAAATATCATGTGCAGCTCGACTCAAGTTTTCTCTGTAAAACTTTATAATTATTGTCTATTAACATTCCACAGGGATTCAACTTTTAAAACAAACAACCATGACTGGTAAGAAATAATAGTCCTCTGACTATACTTTATATTTCAAAGTGCTTAATATTGAGATGAAATTATAATAGCTAAGCTCACTGCACCCACTGCAATATTGAGGTAACTTCTGGGTGTTCAACAACTAAAGTTTGTAGATCAAAACTAGAAAGTTAACTCAGCTAAGAAGACAGCCAATATTTTGGCCAAGACCCTCTAAGGTCAATGAGAACCCAGGACATGAGAGAATCTTTTCTATAGGATCCTACAGCTTTGCTGAATCACCCAATCTCCTGAGCAGGGAGATTGTTGGACCCCAGAAGGCAGGAATCAATAAATGTGCAGTGTGCCAAAGAGAGGGTCACCAAAGAGGGAAAAGTCTCCCATGTTTTCACAGAAAGCAACATGGTCAAGCAAGACCATGATTCATCCTGACAGCTGACACTCACAGAGCAGCTGAGAAGCTAAGTCCATGGTTCCAAAAGTAATGTCTGAGGAGATCTAACTGACCTTGCAGGTGGCAAGAAGTTAGTTTTGACTAACACTGATGCTGCTGCTTTAACCTGTCTTAAATACTCAGTAGAAAAGTATACCCAAAAGATGTATGAAAACAATACCATAGTAATAAAAGCTAGATATAAAAAGAGACTCCAACTGCCCACCCCTTCTGCAATTTCCAGCTATACTGGCAGCTGACCACTATTATGGTTCAGTGAGGCTTAAAAACTATGGTAGAAGCTATAAAAACTGAACAAGTCAGCCTGGGGATATAGCTCAGAGGCTCAAGGGCCTGCCTAGCAAGTGCAAGGTTCTGAGTTCAATTCTCTGTACCCCCCCACCCAAAATAAAACAAAAACAAACAAACAAACAAAACCTCAACAAGTCTTTAAATTCCTTGGCTAATATTGTCCTTCAAAACCACCAAACTCTCTATCTTATTACAGCTAAAACTAGAGGGATTTATAAGAAGAAATATCAGGCTTAGATAACCTGTATCAGTAGAGGGGTCTATGAGACTGGTGGTTCCAATCCCTATTCCAGTCCCTTAAGAGCAGAGTCTGGACATGGCTCTTTCCCTGCCTTTCCAATCTAGTGCTCATGCCTTTATTACACATGCTTTAATTTCTTGGGAAATATGTTTATTCTTGCCTAGAGGCTGCCAAATTCCAAGTGATCATACAGATGGAATCAACGACAAATGTGCCAGATTCCTTTTACCAGAATCCATTAGATCAACCTTGTGAAGGGCATTCATAACTGCTAAGATACAACATGACTTCTATTCAAAACCCCAGTAGATTAGCTCTCTAGAGAAGGTCCCTGATTACGGACTTTGCTACACCAACCCTTCTCAGCTCAAAGCAGCTAGATGAAAACAAGACCCCCTTTGCCCCTAACTGCAGTTAGGGATACCTCTTCAGAGGGGAGGATATTATAGATAGTTAAGTTAGGTAGAAATATTATAGGGAGTCACACAGCACTAGGCCCTCGAGGGAGTCAGTGGGGAAGACGAGGATATATGGAAACTGTGGCTGAGGAACATCTAAAGAAGATTAAAGTCACAATGACCACACTTCCCTAAGGGATAAATGGAAGCTTGAGATCACTGGGACCACCCTTTTGAGATTTCCTGTATAAATAAACCATTATCTCATTAGAGGTGGCCCATCTTCTCTCACCCACTAAGACTAAGTCTACTTAAACTAAGACTACTAAGACTAGAGACTATAGATTATTAACCAAGGTTAATGATGTCATCTATATGCCTTTGCAACTATTGGATCAATATTAGACAAACAGCTCTACATATACTCTTATTGGTTCATTATACTTTTGACCCACGATGTATACATCTGTGATTTTGCTCCATAAAACTTTCTCAGAGAAGGGGGCTCATTCACAACCCATTCAGCACTCTTCCTGTCTTTCATCAGCTATTTCTATGCCCCAGTAAAATTTCCCACTCTTAAAAAAGTAGTACTAGTCATTCCTTTTCATGTCTTGTTAGTATCAAAATATGCGACTGGAAATACATAATGAGAAGACCTACACGATAGCAATAACGCAATAAATAGTCAATTAGATGGGAACATATCTTAAAGAAACTTACCCTCCTTCACTTTCTGCTTCCTCTGAACTATTACTTGTTGCTGAACTTTGAACCGCAGTTGCTCTTCTTTTTCTGGCTCTGTGCTGAGGACTTACCCTATGAACCGTTATCTTCCCTCCAAGTTCATCTTGTATATATTCCTCTAGTTTTGGAATAGTTTCTTTAAGAAATCTGATTTCCTCTTTGAGTTCTTCCATATTTGTCAGCAATTCATTTAACTTCTCCAGTATCTGAAGTTGCCTTCTCTGAAAGATTGCTGGTGTTCCTTGGCCATTATGTGTTTTATCTTGCAAAGTTGTTGAATCAAATGTATTACCCAGAGAAAAAAATTTTGGCAAACTCATTGCTGTCCTTGGTTTACGAACCCTTTGATACCACAGAACCAGCAAGCTGATACCAGCAGTTCCCACCATGATGGCAAATATAAGTTCTTTGTTTGTGGAATGTGGCATTTCTTGACTTTTGTTCCTAAAATTAAAAGTATAAACTATAAATGAATTTTATTTTTGACTTTGACCAAAACAAAAATATTAGCATTTTTTTCAATTAATAAAAGCCATGTCTATGTCATTAAAAAACTTGACAATTTATAAACTAAAATATAGTATCAGTAAATACCCCTATAATTTATACGCTCTAATAGAAATATTTACTTTAAGGATACTACTGAAGTCTACTGTAAAATATCAACTTTGAGAAAATTATTTATGAATTCAAGTTATTCTGAACTCTCTCTGACATTTTATTCATATATAACATGCCAGATTTCTTGGTCATATCTAGTCTTTCAAGAAGGCCAAGAAGGAGCTCTTCTTTAGCAGCTAGCTCACATTAGAACTTAAATTTAGAGTGATTAACAATATTTTAAAGCCAAGGGCTTAGAGATATCCAATATATTATAGAGCTCTGATAAGTTTATAATTCTTCCCATCTCTGTGTTATGCAACATGGAAAGCAAAAGTAATAACATATACTCAGGTGTCACCCCTTTCTTCTTCTGACTCAGAATTCTGCTGATCCTTAACATTTCTACTTATGTTTGAGGTCTCAACATTTGTTTTTCTAATTTTCACTTTTCCAAAAAGAATTAAAAGTCATATCTTTGACTCTTTTCTCTTTGTGACCTGTGAGCTTTTTACATTCACGGTTCAGGACACAGCCTACCGTATTTGGTAGTAACTCCGTTATTTTTACTAAATGCATCGTAACCTTTCTTTAGTAAAACTTATCTTCATTAGTTCTACTGTCCATTTTCTGCTCTTAAAGTCAGGAAATGATTAAAGAAAAACCATATATGGCCTTTCCTTCTGAGACTTTAAAATGGCAGGACATAAATTAGTACTGTGATAAACTATTATAATCAGAGTAAAATATATTTCAGTGTATACATACTTCAAAGTTCTAAAATTGTTTTCCTTTCAATTTCTTTTCTATTTTTATAAACAGATAAGTACCTGCAATGAACTTTATTAGCCACTTGGGAGAAATGTTACAAATAGTAGTGAGTCATCCCTTATAAGAAATTAAATTTGTAATTTTTAAAATTTCATTTTTCCTGAAATTTTCTCAAGGAGTGGATTATTATTGCTCTGCTACCTCTGAACCTGAGGAAAGGGAAAGAAATCAGTACTAGAATGTCTCTTGTTTTTCAACCTAGTTTCTGAACCATGGCACAAAGAGAGGAAACTCAAACAGCCTGAGCTGAACCAACACAGGTCAGAGTTCATAGAAACTTAAGCATTTAAAATTTGTGACAGAGTATTGAAGATGACAGAGGTACTGTATGTGGAAAAAACACACACTGAAACACCATCAGAGCAGGCAAAGAACAACTTTTAGAGAAAAACCGATTATGAGCAAGCTATAAACCAAACTAGTCCTAAAGATTACACAGAACTGGGAAGTACTCAGGTTGTCAAGAATGCTTACAGAATACATGAGGCTTTCAGCAGGGAACCCAGAAGAGTAATGCTTTGGTAGCAAGGCTAGAGTAATCTTAGAGTTAAGGGTAATAAGGCTTTCCCTAAAGCAGATTAAAAATAATTCTTAAAGAAATAAACTGATTCACAAGTAATTTAATTGCCATACAGATCAATGCCAATACTATTTAAAGTATAAGCTGGGCAGGGTGGTGCACACCCGCAGTATCAGCACTTGAGAGGCTGAAGGAGGAGGATCCCCATGAGTTCAAGGCCATCTTGAACTACATAATAAGACCATGCCTCTAAAAAAACTCCTCAAAACTAAAAGTAAAGACAAAAGTAGAAAAACATCCAGAATTCAACAGCATAAAACCAGTTTGTCCAGTATCCAAGAAAAAAAGATTTCACATGCAAGTAAGTAGGAAAACCACAGAAATGGGGCAATATCACTCAGTTGAAAAAGAACAAGATGGCGGAGGGTGACAAAAATTTCCTAAGTTAGACAAAACATAAATTTAACACAATCCAAGAAGCATAAGAAAGCCAGGCCAAGACACAATATTACTAGACTGATAAAAATTACTGATGAAGAGGATACCTTAAAAGCAACCAGGAAAGTAGACATTATATGCAGAGAAAGCCCAGGCCTGGTGGTGTACACCTGTAATCTCAGCGCTCAGGAGGCTGAGGCAGGAGTATCACCATGAGTTCAAGGCTAGCCTGGGCTATATAGTGAGTTTAAAGCCAGCCTGACCTTGTCTCAGAAAGAAAAAAAGGCAGAGAGAAGAAAACATTATAGCATATGTACTCAGGAAAATCTCAGACACAAAAAATAATAAAGTGACCTCTTTAAAATGCTGAGAGAAACTGCCAATTTATATTTATATACTTAGTGAAAGAACTTTCAAAACAAAAGGTAAAATTAAGATTTTTTTGACAAAGAAAAGCTGAGAGAATTCATTACCAAAAGATATGTACTATAATAAATGCTAGTGGAAGTTTATTAAGGAAAAAGAAAATAATAACAGAAGCTTGAGATATACAAAAAGGATAAAGAACACCAACAGAAGAAAACATTTGAGTAAACAGAAAAGTAATTTTTTCCATTTTAAAATTTCTTTACAATTGTTCATTAAAGCTAAAATGATAATAATGCCATAGGGTTTATAACATGCATATCAGTAAAAAGTAAGACAACAATAACTCAAAGTATAGGAAGGAACAAATGAAAGTATGTACTATATTTATAAATACCTTAGACTGTAGTGGAGTGTCATAATATCAAGTTAAATATACATAATAATAAACCCTAGAGCAATCACAAAAAAAAATAAATGTACAGATAAGCCAGTTAGTAGACATAAAAATGGAACATCAAAGATGGTCACTTAGACCAAAAGAAGGCAAGAAAAGGAGAAAAAATAGGTGAATACAAAAGAAATAAGGAGAGAAATGATGTCATAACCTTGTGGAAAACTGATGTCAAAAGATTAAGAAATAACAATATCTTTGTTTGCCAATAAAAAGATAATTAAAACAAAAGTTGATGAAACAGAAAGAATACTAGAGAACTATGCATCAATAAATTTAAGAAGGCAAAGAGGATAGGCTTTAGTTCACATATACAAGGGTTGACCTTTGATGAAATCACATTCACAGTAATGAAAGAAAAGGCAGATTATGTGAACAGGAATTCAGGTAGCGGGTGAGTATTGTGGTGGAAGTTTTTCGAAGTTTTGATTGCTTTGCACCCTAAGGCAAATAGGAAGAAAATAAACAGCTGAAAGAAATACCCCAGAAATATTGGAAAGATGCAAATTATGAATTAAGCTGCGTGATTCCACATATTCTAGCAAACTGGTATTGTTTCCTACACACCAAATGTTTCAAATGCCCTATGCAAAAATATGCAGCAAGAATCTATTTCTGAGAAGCCTACTTTTAAAAGAACATCTCTCTTTAGCTTCCTATTATACTATATCATATGCATGGACCACAGGAATTATCCTGTTTAAATGCCCCAGTTTATTACAGGCTGAAGTGTTAATGACAAGGAACTGTAAAAAAATCTCCCAGGAATTGTCTCCTATCTCCAAGAGCTTTAAGAATCCCTCCTCCTAAACCAAAGACTCCACAGAAAAGTTTGGTACTTAATCTGATCTGCTTGACTGCACAGTATTTTGCCTGGGATTTTTTTTTTGTTTTTCTTGTGGTGCTGGGAATAGAACCTAATGTCTCCTGTACGCTCTATCACTAGGCTACACCCTCAGACCCAAGGATTAATTGTTTTTACACCGCCCCAAGCCTTTACCTAATTTGTATAAATAGGAACTGCAAATCTATCTGCCCACTCCCATTTATCTCATCCAGGAGATATGCCAGCAGCACATTCTGGTAAATGTGTAATTATAGCTGTTTAATTTTATTCCCAAAAAACCATACACTGTACCACAAACAAAGCAACAGATGCAAGAAAAGTCGTTATAGGCCTATGGACTTACCTTCACATCACAGCTAATAATTATGCATCAAGCTTGATGATCTTGAGGTATTGTTTTAGTCAATAAAATATCTAGGGCTGGGGATGTAGCTGGATGGTACAGCAAAAATTTAGCATGCTTGACACCCTGAGTTAATGCCAGCACCATACACATAAACATACAAAAAAGACAAAAATTAACTTGAGATGTCCATATGCTGATCTAGAGGTCTATTGAAAGGTATCTTCTTATATTGGGATTTCTTCCTTTGGCTCATTCCCAGTAGGCCTTCTTTGGAACAGCCTGGTTTGAAATTATTTTCATTTAATAAGTAAATAGTTGTGAAAATCTACCTGAGAATACATCCTTGAGACAGAACCGGGTTTAAACACGTGAGAAATAGTCATACTCTGCCTAGCTTTACTATAGGAATTACAATTCCAAACTACCCTTTGAGCCAGAACAAAAATTAATAACCCTGTTATTGTTCTGCAGATAAGCAAACTGAGGCACACAACTGTCAAACGATTTACCTAGGCCATCACCCAACTAGGAAGAGAAAAATATTCACCTGACCACCCTTTTCCTAACTCCTGGAGACATCATCCAACTGCACACCGAAGATCAGAAAGCATCAAAAAGGACATGAAGGAGAATGCTGACTGAGCGGAGGTAAAACATGATTTCAGAGCTGTGACAACTGACTAGGGAAAAGACTAGAATCAGCGAAGCCGGTATTTGTTTCCACAATTAGAAACTAATAGCTCAGGATAAACTTGAACTTTGTATCAGTGTAAAACAATCGTGTCTCTACGCCAATAATTTGAAAAATGGTAAAATTCAAAACTGCGGTACAAAAGTAATAACTCAGAATATATGCTTGTCTGCAGTATACCTTCAAGCATTGTATGAAGTTATCTGTACAGTCCTCATACTTTTAATTATATTAGTAGTATTTGCTTGTAGTATGTATAAAAACACAGTAGGGAAAATTTTACTCATCTGACTACCCAAATCAAATATTTTAATAACCAGATACAAACCATTATTCCTGTCACAAATTTCAGTTTTAAAGCACTAGGAATAACAATGGAAAATGATAAATATTATTTTAGTATAAATTATTAGCATCTAAAATTGTGTAATACATAATCAAAGGTTATTTACAGAGAAGAGAATCATCTAAAGAAATGATAAAGCAAAGTTTTCCAAAGGAGTCGCCCTGAGACCTTTAATACTTGAACAGATTCTCTAGGAAAAAGGCGAAAGATTTATACAATCTGAAGAGAAACTAGAATTATGAACGGATTCTCTAAAGACCCTAAAAACCCCGTATCTGCAAAGTGAATTCTAATATTCCTATCTTATCTGATTTTAATTATTTTTCCTATTTAAAATTTACTTAAACCGAGAGCGCTCTGGTGTTTGGTTTATCTGCAAATGTTGAATAGTGCTAATAATCTGGTCTTTTCTTCTGTGTAAAATAGGTACAGAATTCAACTCTAAAGGGGAGAAACCAGGAACAAAACTCTGTTTCCCAGGTGGAAGGAGCAGATCCACCAGCCGTGTGTCTCCGAAAGTTCCGGGTTCGCAAGGACGCGCCTGGCGGAAGAGGCACACCGCCCACCCGCAAGACCCTAAGGGGCGTCCTTCTTGGAAACACCCGCGACCTCCGGCCGCAGCTTCCGGGACGTGGCTCCGCGAGACCAGCGCAGAGCCGCAGGCGGGCCGCTCTCCAGCCCTGCAGCGAGCCGGAAGTGCCGGCGCTCCTGCCGGAAGTGCGGCTGCCGCGCTCCGCACACCCGGGGCCGCCCGGTCCTCGCCGG